CTCGGGTGCTGTCACCGCCTGGGGACGCTGCTGAGCCACAGCGAGATCCTGTGCAAGGCCAGAGCCTTCTGCGGGGAGGGGATGGCCATAGCCGGACAGCTGAGAGCCTCCCGATGGTCAGTGACTGGGATTGGGATCGGGAATGGGGTCAGGAATGGGATTGGGGTCATTGGGATTGGGTATGGGATCAATGGGATCATTGGGATCAATGGGATCGGGATCCTGTGCAAGGCCAGAGCCTTCTGCGGGGAGGGGATGGCCATGGCCGGACAGCTGAGAGCCTCCTGATGGTCAGTGATTGGGGTCAGTGGGGTCAATGGGGTCAGGTATGGGATCATTTGGGATAATTTTCCCCATTTTCCCATTGCAGGTGTGTGCTGTTCCTGGTGCTGCAGTCACAGCTGGAGCTGCAGCAGGGGGAGCGGGAGCTGAGCCAGTCCCACCTGCAGCACGCCCTGTTCCTAATCCGGCCCCATCCCGGTAAATTCCCAAAAAAACCCCATAAATCCAGTCTGGGATCTCAGTGGAGAAAACCTTGTGATCCCATTCCCGATCCCATTAGAATTTTAACTCTTTTTGGGCTATAAAATCCCAATTTTCCCTTTTTTCTTCCAGCCCCGAAAACCCCTCAGGATCCCCCGCGCCGGGGCAGGATCCGGCTCCGGAAGGGCCCTTTGGCGACAGAAAAACCCCAAAACCCCGATCCTGACCCCAAAGATGAGGAGGACGAGGGGTTCCTGCGGGGTCCGGCCGTGGCCTCGCTGTCCCCACCAGCACTGCCCGAGCGGCCGGACGCGCTGACCGCATCCCCCGAGCTGAAATCCCGGAAAAACCCCGAATTTGGGGSATTTGGGGGATTTSAGGAATTGCTGCAGTTCCTGTCCCATCCCCTGCAGTGTCCCTGTCCCCTCTGCTCCGACCCCGTCCTGAGCTCGCTGTGCCTGCGCTGGCTGCTGGCCTGGGGACACTTGGCACCTGAGGGGACACCGGGGGTGGCCCTGGGGGACGGGGACGGGGACACAAAGGTGGCCCTAAAGTACAGGGAGGTGGCATCAAGGGACAGGAAAGTGGCCCTAAGGGATGGGGAGGTGGCCCTGGTGGCCCCAGGGGTCAGTGAGGTGTCTCCAGAGGTGGTCCCAGGGGTCAGGGAGGTGGCCCTGGTGCAGCGGGTGCTGGCCCGGTGTCACCGCACCGGGGAGAGGCTGAGGAGGGACATTGGGGACAGAGTGAGGGGGGGGATGGGCAGGGATGGGGACGGGATTGGGGACAGGGACATCGGGAATGGGGACATCATCAAGGACAGGGACCCTTTTAGGGACAGGAACCTTCAGGATCCTCCTGAGAACGGGGATAACATCAGGAATGGGGACAGCTTTGGGGACAGGGGGACCATTGGGGACAGTGACCCCTCAGTGGCCGGCGCCCCTCCCCCGCTGGCCGAGCTGGTGGCCACCGCGTACTCTTCGCTGGCCCAGCGGGTCCTGAGCAGCCCCAGCCCCGTTTGGGATCGGGATCTGGAGCGGGGCCTGACCCTACTGCGATCCCAAAGCCACCCCGTGGCCGGGCTGCCCGTGGCCGTGGCCACTCTGCTGCTGGCCAAAGCCACCTCCACGCTGGCCCAGGTGGCCTCRGGGCTCGGCCGCTCGCCGGACGCCGTCCTGGCCCAGGGCTGGACCCCACGACCCCAAAAAACCCCCAAAAAATCGCCAAAACCTGCCCTTATAACCCCAAAACCTCCATCCCAAAAAACCTCACCCAAAACCCAAAAACCGCTCCTTAAAACCCGAAAACCTCCATCCCAGAAATCCCCCCTTAAAACCCCAAAAACCTCCAAAAAACCCCAAAAACCCAAACCCCACAAAACCAAAGCGGGGAAAACACCAAAACCCCAAAATTTCGGGGACGTTTTCGCCGTGGGGGATTCGGACCTTGAGGTTCCCTCGATCGTTCTGCGCCCGAGAGGGGCTCTGACCCCAAACCCCAAATCTGGGCCGGCCCCAAAAGCGCTGTGGGGTCTGGCCGGACCCAAAACCCCATTTAGGATTTT